TGCCACTGTACATCTATACACTTCTTTTGAACTACACATACATCCTGTTAGTTTTATTATGAAATGGATTATTTCATACTGCCTTTTAAAGATGGAAATAGATTAGGTCAGCCAGTGGAGTGGTGGTTAAGGTGGATGGATCCCATATGGCCAACTTTGCATTTCGAGTCCTGGACGTGGTGACTTGAGAATCATACCAGGCACATGTGCATATGTGCCCCAAATCCCAAGAGAATAGAGGAGAAGGGACTGTGGTGTGGCCATCACCCCAGGAAATGAGTTCTCTCTCTCTGGCGAGCACATGACCCTATAGCAAAACTGAAACAAAAGAGGGAACTAGATCATTGTAATCTACAAAGGGTGTTCCCAAAGTTCATGGGTAAAACACACTGCTGTGAGGCTGATCCACATGGGACAGTTCTGTGTTCACCTCCAGAGATCTCCTTGGGTTCGCTTGGCACAAGTGTGCCCAGGATTCAGGGCTGGATTGCAGCATCCAGACCTGTGGAGTACCTAAATCTCTGTTTCTCTTGCTCATGAGAGAAACAAAACGAACTTTAAAATAAGTTCATGGATAATATGTATTATAAAAAAAACTATGTGTGGATTTCAAATTATTTTTTTTGTACCAAAATAACTTGGACCTTAATTTCATTTTTTCACAAACTTTTTGAAATCCCCTTACATAAGCAGAAATTAGACTTTTAAAAATCACACGTGGTGCCAAGGATCCAGCAGGTCTGTCTTCCTCTTCAGTCAGCTGACACGTGTGCACTGACAAAAGTCAGTAAATGGCCCAGCCACAGGTGCAGTGAGGGAGCTGGGCAGGGGGCTGCCACCTATCCTTGATCCTGCCTGGTAGGGCAGCTGCTGCAAACAGAGACTGCGTAGAAATGGTGTTTACCTACCCTCCCCACACCCAAGAAAAGGACGGTAAGGTCTCTTTGCTTGGGAATCGCTGGATTAAACGGCATTAAGATGCTTCCAGACTGTTTGGTATAGTACACCTGCACGCACTGTCAATCCAAGACGGACACAACTGAAGTACCCAAACTCGGGCCCGCAGAAGGCTTCTTACGGGAGCAACTATTCTCTTGGTTGTTTTTTAAAGTTTTGCCAGAGAGTATGTGTACTTGCCAAGGGGAGACAGAGAGACATGGGCACACCGCATTCTCTTCTCCATTTCTCCATCCGGTCGAAATTCTGGGCACACGTGCTTTGCATGTTTTTCAAGCTGCCAGGGCAGGATTTGAACTGTACAGTCGGCAATGTGGGATCACAAGGCTTTGGGGCTGGCCCAGGAATAGTGTTGTAAGGGAACTATTAAAACGCTTCTTTACAAATGTTGTCTCCACTAATGACTTATCTAAAATGCAGCCTAATGTGGCAGCTGTGCCTTGCAAAGAGATGTGTGAGAGAAGTACAATTTCTGACCAGGCAGAAGTGGATTGTAGAATGAGGGCTCCCCCACCAATGGAAGCAGATCCAGGTGCTAGTATCCCCTGTGAGATTCTTAGTGAAGCTGCACTTCCGACTCACCACGGACAATTTTGTCCTTAGCTTGATTTTTTTTTTTCCTAGGAATCAGTTATTTAGGGGCCAGCAGGGGTGTAGTGGTTAAGGCACTGGACTCCCACATGGCCAACCGTGGTTCAAGTCCTGAACCCAGAAGCTTGAAACTCACACCAGGTGCATGTGTGTGCGTGAACAAGATCCCGAGAGGAGAATGGAGGAGAAGGGATTGTGGCATAGCCATCCTCCCTGGGGGATGAATTTTCACTTTTTCTCTCTCTCTGCATCTCTGGTGAGCATGCAAGCCCTATAGTAAAAATTTCTCAAAATGATTCATTTTATTTATTACTATAAAAATAATAATAATATTAATAATAAATAGCACTCACTAGGGAGAGAGGGAGGGAGTAAGAGAGAGAGAGAGAGAGGAGACAGAAAGCAAGCCACTAGGTCCAGGGCCTGAATCAAGGTCGGCCATGGGGCAGTCTAGTGCCTTAACCACCACGCCACTTGCTGGCTTCCCTTAGCTTGATTTTTAAGATGTGCTGGTGAACCAAAAGTAACCTATCTTTTTGTTTTATTTATTTATTTTTAATTGCTAGAGGGCACAGGTGCTCACCAGACAGAGACAGAGACAGACAGGGAGGAAACACGCCCCAACAAAGCATGCTCACACCACAATCCTTTCTCTAGTTCTCATCCTGTTGGATTTGGGGGATACACACATATGCCCAGCATGTTTTTCAAGCCACTTGGGATTTAAACTGTGGTCAGTCATGTAGGGTTCAGCTCCCTTAACCACCAGGTTATGGGGCTGGCTCAAGTACCTCATTTTCTGGGTTACATCTAATTTCTAGTCCTACAGGGACTACTGGGTGCATCATCCCACTCCATACCACCCCATCTGGCTGAACTAACACCCAATGAAACTTCCAGAGAAACTTCACCCCTACTCTCCTTCCTACTCCCCAAAAAAAGCAATCACAGCATGTGCCCAAATTTATTTTTATTTTGCTTACATAGGAAACAGGACCCTATCAAAAGAGAACAAAAAAGAAAAATGAGCCATGTGACAGAGAAAAAAGCATGCACAGATCTGCTTCGAGGTACCTAACCACTGACGACAGAATCGCAACACACCAGGGGCTGGACTCACTCTAGGAGGTGGCCCCGACGGCACAAAGGAAGCGAGAACGGCCAGGGAATGTCCCTGGCAGTGGACTCTCCAGAGGCAGCATCAGCGCTCACTGATACAAGCCCAGGTGGAAGGGAAAACAAAATCTGTCTTATCCAGACATGGGAATATAAAATTGCTGAGCGCTTCCAGGCATTCAGTCTCTCAGGATCATTTGCTATCAAAAAGATAAATAAAATTTAGTCGTGGACATTTAGGTGCCCAGTCAGCTGCACCCTGGTCCAATTCCAAGGGCAGCTCTGAGTGTGCTTCTTTGCTTTAAAAAACAAAAACAAAAACAATGAAAGGGAGGAACCGAAGTTAAAAAAGAAAACCCAATGACCTGGAGGAAGAGGAGCTGTCCGGGCCCATGTGGTTGTCTCGGTTGTAAACAGCAAGTGTTGTGCTTTGTTGTCTCATTTAGTCATGGACCCGAGTGTGGGGAGGACCTGCCGTCACAGGGACAGGAGGTCAGAGGTCACATGAGGGCGGTCAGACACTGGCAGCCGCATCTGTACGCATAGCCGGTGTTTCCAAGGGTGTTCGTTTTGTTCCCCAGTATTTCCCTGGGAGGCCCCCAGATTCTGTGCCCTTCGAGTAAGTCCCCGCAGTGGTTCAACCCCATTCCTTCCCTGCCCCACAGAAACCAGACACAGAGCCCATGCCCCCTGTGTAGGGGAACGAAACCCCCTCCATCCACTCCAGTGCCATGTCTCAGTGGTCAGGTTCAATGAGTACCAATTTCTCAGAGGCTCCAATTACTCACTTAAATGAAGTACCCCGCCCCCCTCCCCTCCCCCAATACTACATACATAGTGATCTAGGCATCTCGGCTACGCTGCTTTGCGCTCAGTACACACGACACGTCAGGTCAGCTCTGGGGTTACATACACGCCCACGTTACTAGCTACTCGGAGGGACAGGACTCTCCCTAACTGTCGACAACTCCAGGGGCTCCATGCAGGATCGTGGGGTGAGGCAGGATTCTCCTCCGGGCCTTGCCCTTCCAGTCACCTCTTCACTCTCAGGTTGCTTCCACGGCCCGAGCCGTCCAGTGAGTATTTTCTCCTCTCCTCCTCACAGGCTTTTCCTCCTCAGAGCCCCGCACACTCCCGCTCAGACTGCACACCACCACGGCCACTCCAGGCTCACAGTGGCTGGCCGGGGTCTGCTGGGATGTCTCAGCTGGTCTCTCTCCGAAGGTTGATGTGACATCCCAGCCAGATGTACTCCTCTGCTTTGACAGTGCCCATCAAAATCTACCTCCAGAGATGCCCTGGGGAAGGACAGGGTCTTACACACACACTTCCGCAAATACACTAAGAAGGGAGAGACGTCTCCCCCACCCGCAAGTCAGACCAAGAGCTCATACAATGCCATGTCCCAGTTTGGGGCAGGGAAATATTTCCTATGAACTTGGATAACTCTCCTTCGTGGTCTTCAGAAAACCGCTGATGTTTCACCTTGGCCCGAGGATGGGTCCCCATCTTGCAGGGGAAGCCTATCTTTAGGATGCGAGTGGAGACAGGATACGTTCCTGATGGGCTCTTTTGCCACTTCTTGGAGAGGAAGGCCGACGGGAGAATGGGCAGCAGCAGACCTGGGCCTCACTGTAGCCCGGTTGCCGCTGCACCATGTCCTGGCTGCTGCATGTGCCTTTCGACTTGTAGAAGGAGGCTTCCCCAGGGTGCTCGGCCTGGCCCCTCCACACGTCGCCCTTGCACACTGGCTCTGCCTTGCTCATCCTCTTAGCCTCTCTCCTGAGGATCTGGCCACACCACCCTAAGAATGTTGACCCTTGGAGACTGTCACCACACTCTGCCAGAGAGCACAGATTACATTAGAAACAGAAGCAACAGAGGAGACACAGTGTGAATTTGAATATCGTCCTCCACAGAAAACTTGAAAGGGAGCTGTCTTGCTTTGAAGATATCAAAGAGGAATTTGCCATTAGTGGCTCCTAAGACCATTCCTGGAAATGGACTTCGATGGGAACAGGCAAGGCTGAGTGAAAGGCCCTCTCCTGTCCCTCCTCGTTCACACGGGCAGTGTCCCCGCTACTTGGCCTTAACCACCTGTTCGTATGGGGGCGGAGGTGTGTTGCAGTAGGAAGGAGGGGGTGGGTAGGCTGTGCTTCCCTGGGGTGAATTGGGTTGGACTTGGAAAGCCATCGCCATGGTGTTCCCTGCAGGAGTCATTCCTGGTCCTCCAGGGTCGGTGTAATACGGTGGCCCCGGCTGCTGGGCTCCTGGAAGACAGATGGTCACATATGAGCATGGACGAGAAACCCACCTCCCATCACACCCAGGGCACTGCCAGCTGGACGTGCTATAGGGGCCGTCTGCTCCAAACATTGACTCAAACCAGGGGGATGAAGAACCCAACATCCCCAGATATAGTGGGGCTTCTGGGAGCACACCGGTCCCTTCCTACAAAGAGCTTCCAAGTTACCAGAGGGGACAGATCATTGATGGGCTGCACATAATCTCAGGGTGTGGCTGCATTATAGGAAGAACAATGGGAGGTGAGTTATGGAGTGGCAGCTCAGATACCACCAACCTGAAATCTGAATGCTAAAAACAAGACAGCTATGCAAAGAGTTAGTGAGCACGTGCTGACGAGATCACCAAGAGAGAAGCCATGTACACTTCACGGTCAAGGGAACTGGACCACAGTAAAAGCAGCTGATTTGCAGCTAACTGTGGGAACAGCTGGTTTCCTGATGCTCAGCTCAGACTTTTCAATGGTAGCTCCACAACCTCTTTGGACACATAGACTACTTTCGACCATTTCTGAAATCAGATGGCCATTCCCATCTGTTAGGTTAGCGTTTTATCAGAGGAGCAGTTACGTCATTCTGGTGAACACATTTTCACAGGCAGGGAGGTAACTGGTGAGGGTCCATGCCAGAAGCAGGGCTGGTTTTATGAATCTACAGACCCTCTCCTCCAAGGTGAGGATCTGAGATGCAGACCGACTCTCCAGGCCAGTCTGCAGGACATGTGGGTCCAGAGGGAGCAAATGCTCGTCCTGCCCCCTACCTAGTACAATGCCAAGCTGCTGTCTTAGAACCCATGTTGTAGGTCTAGTTACTCTGAGCTTGTGGGTAATGCAACAGAATACTGAATATATAAATAAAGAATCAAGGAAAATCGTGATAGCTTTTGGTGTTTCCTGAGTGAAGCTAGTCTTGCAAGCAGACTCAAGACTATTTGTGATACTTCACCTAGCCCAGGGAGATATTGAGTCTCAGAGAAGCTGCCTGTGAAGGAGCATTTTGGGTACCAACTTGACTAGACTGAAGGATGCCTGGATGGCTAGTGAAGCATTGTTCCTGTTCTGTAAAAAAGGTTGCTAGACAAGACTGGCTGGGAAAGCAGAGGACGTGGGAGATCCTGTTTCCTCTCCGACCCTTCCTTGTAGAGCACGTCGCGTTTTACTCCTGCTGCCTGCGTATCTGCCTGTTTTGTCCTTGCTCTGTAACTCAGCCTTGCATGAATTCAGTTCCCACCTGGCTCCCATGCCACACCAGACACAGACAGACTCTAAATTCTTTAACATTTAGACTCCTGACTCATTCCAATGGCACCCCCAAAGGCACTTAGGACCTTCAGTCTTGGACAGGAAACTGCACCATTGGCTTCCCTCCATCTGGGTCTTCCTGTTGTTTCTCCGGCTTTCAGACAGTCTACTGTGAAACTTCTCTTTGTGAGATCATTCTTATAACCCCCTCTTTTATATACATTTATCTTGGTGATTCTGCTTCCTCGGAGGACCGTGACCGACACACTGCCCATGCGTGAGTACCATGAAGGGTCTCTTTCTGCAGATTTCCCTCTGATACAATTTAATTGAATAAAGATATGATTCTTAAAAAAAATACCCAGCAAAGTATGCAAGAGGTCCCAAACCTTTAAGTTTAGATTTTGGAAACACACAAATGTGCAAAAAGAGAGAATGTAGAACAGAAAGTCAGGCCAAGCATGCATTCCAGGTGTGAAGAGGAGAGCAGTCAGCCATGGGAACAGCTTCATCAAAGACTGCCACCTGCCGCCCTGGGTGACCCACAGATGGCATCGCTTGTGTTGCTGCCACCGTGGGATGTATTAAAGTCTGTGTACCACTCATGGCCATGAGTTTCTCAAGAGTAGAATCTCCTTCTATGTTATATGATTTTTGTTTTTAAAGAGGGCCACTGTAACAGTACAGGCGGGATATGATGAAGGCATTTGAATATCTGAGAACAAATGGGGAGAACTGAGAGATGGAATGAGGTATATCCAATGGTGAACCCGAGTCTAACTGTGGAATGCAGGGATACGAAACGAAGTCTTAAGAAAGGTTTCCGGTCTCACGAACAAAGCAGGAGAAGGGATACAGGAGAAAGGCAGGGAGGATGCCAATTCTGGGCTGAACTTATCAGGGCCAAGGTAGCTCTGGAGGTTTTTACGTAAAGACGGGTGTGCATAAAACCACTAAGGAGGTGTGCACGGGGGGAAAGGATGACCGCAAGAGAGAAGCTGTAGGAAAGACCAGTGTTTGAGACAGGACAAGAACACTACACATTTAAGGTAGAGGAGAAGGATGCAAAGGTGACTGGGAAGAAAGAGGGAAATGCAGTGAATTGGGAACTGTGTCATGGAAGCCAAAGGAAAGGAGAATTTGAAAGAAGTGACTGATACTTTCCAAGATTGATGAGAGGTCAAAATAAAAACTGTCAGTGTTCAGTGGAAATGGCATTACCGACTTTTTGGGCTCGTCACCCCAACAGTTTTAGTACAGCGGTTGACACAAACCCCCAATCACAGGAGGGAAACGCGCTCCAGGATAAATGTTTAAAACGTGATGAAGGGATGGTGGTGTTATAAGTGAAGCAGAGCAAGGGGAGGTGTATTTCGAAGGACAGGAAACGCTTGAGCTTGTTTAGACACGGTAGGAGAGATACAGAGAAAAGACAAGAGGGTTGGGAGAGAGCGAAGCTCAGTGAGGCCACAGACCTCTGGTTCAGCACTGGGATCCCTCTGCCTAGCTCCGAGCCTGGTGCGCAGGAAGGCACCCAGCACATGCGGGTGAACAGGAAGGAGAACAGGTGGAGGATGTGGTCTTGGGCAGACAGCCTCTAGTTCTGTGTTTCCACGATGAGGTCTCACCATGGCACAGTCCTTTCTCAGCCTCCCTGCTGGACTACCGGCAAATACCACCACACTCAGCTCTTTCACTTTGGCCGGGTCTCTTATGTTGCTCAAGTCAGCCTGAAGCTTGTGCTTCTCTTACCTCGTCCTCCCAACCTGCTGAAATTACAGACACCACCCCTGGCCTTTAGGCTAGACCAAGACTCAAACTCGGGCCTCCCACATGGCCCCCAGCATGTGAAGCACAGGATCTGAGCTGCACACCGCTTAGGAGCCTGCCTCTGCTTTGAGTGGGACAGCGATGTGGGAGAGGACAAACAGGATACTGGGGCAGGCAGATCCCGAAGTCCTCAAAGAAGATGGGAGGAATTCCGGATGGCCCCAGATGGTACCAAAAAAGTGACAGGGTCAATAGACATAGAATTCAGTGAGGCGGGGTTGTGATTTGGATTTGGGCTTTGTCTCTGTCATCTTGTGCTGGCTGTGCTTGGTGGTCTCCTGAGACACCTGCTTGTGCCCCCCCGCCCCTAGCTAGCCTGCAGCAGCTCTGCCTGGCAGTCCTAAGAAACAGAGAACAGGGGAGGAGCCCAACTCCCTATCGCAGAGGAAGGAGGGGTGAGGGTCTTTGCACCAGAGATCTGGCTTTGGCCTACAGTGTGACCGCTCCCTGGATAATAGAGAACCACTGGAATCAGTATTTTTCTTGCTAATCCGTCACAGCTCCTGGACATTGTCAGGAACTGGCAGAAGGGGACTGAAATATTTGCACCTAGAGATAGAGATGCATGTGGGACATAATAGGAACGGAGCAGAAAGGAGGTGGATGAGCTAGGTGCTAGTCAGGAACAGGAACCCTTACGTGAAAACACTTGGCAGCCACAGGGATGGAACATGCCAGAACACCTGTGGGGAGACCCAAAGGCAACAGGAGCAGAAGCAGTAGCCTCATGGGGAACAGCTCACCAGTCCCTAGCCAGACGGAGGCCACGGGGCAAGAACCAAAGCAGCTCAGAACAGGGTACAGTTCTCGCAGGGGATGTGCACGGCCCAGGCATCTGCGTGGGTTCTACTCGTTTGGCTAAAAGCAGAACTTTTTTTTTTCTTTTTTAAAATAATTATTGTTTTTTCTATTTTTTTTTTTTTGGAGAGGTTTTTGCTATAGGGCGCATGCACTCATCAGAGAGAGAGAAAGAGACAGAGAGAAAGAAAGCAAGAAATCATCCCCGGGGGAATGACCATGCTGCAATCTCTTCTCCTCCATTCTCCTCTCGGGATCTTGGGTACGCATGCACACATACCCGGTGTGAGTTTAAGCCACTGGGTCCAGGACTCGAACCACAGTCGACTACGTGGGAGTCTAGCCACATAGCCATTACGCCAACTGCTGGTCCTTGTTTTTTCTATTTTATTTATATTATTATTTTTAAATTTGAGCAGAGGAAGACACAGAAAAAGAGAAAGTGAGAAAGCAAGCTTCCAGGTCTGGGACTTGAGCCATAGTCGACCATGTGAGAGTCCAATGCTTTAACCACTACGCCACCTGCAGGCCCCCAAAAGTAGAACTCTTGACAAAATGCTGACCCAGCTGGCTAACCGTTGGTGCTTCCACCGAACAGAAATCGAGAGAAGAGAGAGCCAATTCTGGCCAAGATAGTGCCATTCATTTAGAGAAGTGAGAGCAGGAAGACTTCATGGCATGTGTGAAATCCACAGAGAGAGGGCAGCTGGACCAGGGATGTAGCCGTGGACCTCGGGGAGATCATTCCCAAGATGTTGCCCAAAACACACACCTGGAAATTACCACTTTAACTTCGTAATCCTAGACAGCGTGGTGAGAACAAAAATGGAAAGGTTCTACATGAAGCTCCGGGGATTCGTGAGTCATTGTCACAGACCCAAATTCCAAGTGAGGCCATTACCCAAAACAGAGAAATCGGGAAAAATAAAGCCCACGGGAGCTTGGAGCAAAGACTGCACAAACAGCCTCTTCACATGCATGGAGAATAAAGATGAAGAAATAAAGCAAACAGTGAAGACGAAGACCTCGAATTTTACTCTGTCCTAGAGCAGGCTTCGCAAACCAAAACGGAGAGAGGAAATGCGTGAGTGAAAGCGA